GAACTGGGTAAACTTCAAAGATAAGTCAATGATGTTTTTAAACTTTTACATAAGCCTCACATAATTGAAATATTTGTGTGTGTATTTCTGCACGCAGGAATATACATTTGAAATTTATGGAAAATGACGGGGTGTAATTTTCCAATAATTATTTGTGACAAAAGGTTTTATTATTGAACAAATATTGCTGTTAGAAGATAATTTGTCGTTGTTGTTTCGCAAATAAATCACAGGCATATACATGTAAAAGAGATTGGGCACCTCGAGGTGGTGTAATGGTTAACATGCTTGTCTCGCTAGAACAATTACGAATGAGTAGTGAGTTCGGTCCTTACTGTGGTGCCCCTTACTTTCGGCCTTGTGCCACATCCAAGATACAAAATATATAAATTGTGAAAATCAGGCCTGTTTCTCTGCGCCCATGAAGGGACCTTAACTTTTCACTTATTTACAACTGCAGAAACACCCCCGCAAAAAAAACAATAAATCTTCATTGAATATGTGCATTCATGCGATTTTTTGCGGGGGTGGGGGGTAATGCCCTTTAATTAGTTCAATTCTGATTCAAAAGCTGGAAGCGAGGGTTATATAATCAGCGTCCTATACACAACTGACAAACCAGGCAATTTGATCTTTTCTAAGAACGCGAAAATCTCCTCAAAAAAGGTACAGAAACATGATACTACAGCAGGATACTGAGGATACCATAGATCAAACATGTGAGCAACGACGAGGTTTTAGAGAAAATGGAAACAAAAACTGCCTCTTCCTGGTGTTAAGTACAATACCAGGAAGAGGCAGTTGAAATTTCTGGGGCTCATATTAAGGAAAGAGGGCTTGGAAAATTTGATACTCACAGGATATAGGAAAATAAGGATAACATACTTAGTGAGCAAGTTGAGTAAATTAATGACGTGACAAATTTTACGAGTAATAACAAAAAGTCAACATTTATTAAGAGCTACAAAAGATAGGAAATTGTGGAGAGCCATGACATTGTAATTCTTGAAAAGAAGGAGGAGGACGCGGAATCAACTCACATATATATGATTTTAACCAAAATTCTGTTAGTCGAAATAAGTTATAATGAAGAAAATGCATTGTTCTCTTTTTGTGTTTGTGCATCAATGAACGCGAAATAATTGAAATTTAAACAAATCAAACCCCCGCCCCACCTCTTCCTCTTTCCCATCCCTCTATCCTTCTTCAAATTCCTCCCACCTCTGCAGTAAGTAAACAAAAGACTTAATCACAGACTTTATATTAAGCGGTGTCGACCATTTAATTTCAAATAGAATCAACAAACAACCTGTTTTGGTTTTTGTTCTTTCTTTCGTTCTTTCTTTCTTTCTTTCTTTCTTTCTTTCTTTTCTTTCTTTCTTTCTTTCTTTCTTCCTTCCTTCCTTCCTTTCTTTGTTTCTTTCTTGAAAACGATAAAGGTGGTAATACTTAAGAAGATGCTCAATAGCTGATTGAAAAAGAAAAACATATACAAAAACACATACTAAATGTTACTGCTGCTATGACAACGGATGGGGTCTACTAAAAAATTCTTCAAACTCTAAACTCAAACCTGCTAAAGCAACATGGAACATGACCCATTACTCCCCATATCTAACCGGACCCAAGCAGAGAATTTATTTCTTGCTTTAGCCGTAAAAAGTGGCCCATGCTATATATAAGTGGGTGCTGCAAAGTTCTCGTACAGACTCAATTCCCAAAATCTGACGTGGTGATCAAAATTCATGTTTTTCTTCAGAAAAGGTTCTTGGTCAAGCCGAGAGGTTTTCAACATCGCCTTGTGTGTATATATACAGCGTGCGATGGATAAATTGTAGTCTAAATTACGCAAAAATGAAAATAACACTAACATCTCATTTTAACAGATATATTTACCAAAATTACACTAAAATATTTTAAAATACTAAAGAGTAAATTTATTCAATTAACTTCAACCACGGCCTCCAGACAACATCGAAATCTCCTGCATCTCTTCTGGGCTGTCTCCTTGTGTAAGTTGGTGAATACTGCCATAATCCTTGTCTTTAGTTTATCTTTGATGTAACAAAGAGTTTTGTTGGTCTCAATTGCGCCCCACACATAATAATCGAATGGTTTGCAGTGTGGGGAGTTAGATGGCCAGATGTAAGGGGTTATGTGGTCACAGAAATTGTCTGACAGCCATGACTGGGTTGTCCTGCTTTTGTGGAATGTTGCCAAACATAGCGTCTTCCAGCAACTACCCTTTTGACCCAGTGCAGCACTACCTCCACAAGGCACTTGATGTAGGCCTCCGTGTTGAGTCTGAGGCCTTGTGGGAAGATGAATGGAGGCATAACGTCGCCATCATTTGTGATCACTCTAAACATCTTCGTAATCACCATTAGACTCATCCAACTCTTTCCGAATGCTCTACACTATCCTCAGATTGACACCCAAACACTCTGAAATGTTCGTATTGGAGCTTCCGGTGCGAATGCCAAGCAGTACAGCATACCGTTTCCAAATTTCTGGCGGATTGAATTGCGTCATGGTACTCTTTTTCTTACTGACAGTGCCCAACAGACCGTACTACACTGTGCAGTCGACAAAATCAATATCAAGCAATGCGCATGCACAAAATGAAAAATAAGTAATGACGACAATTTACCCATTGCACCCGGTATATATATATAGTTAACTTGTGAATGAGTCGCAACGCTTGTTTTTTTTTTACCATTCCTCCCACTCCGTTCTATGTATCTTAGAAATTTCAACTGATTTTTTCTGATTCTGATTATAAGTGCCCTTAAATTCATGAAGTCGTGACACCCAAGAGGAGAGCTCATCAGAACAATTGCCATGGACATATTTATAGGAAAGGCAAAAGGAAACTAGGTTACGGCGGTGGGAAAGTTACTGAAGCCGAGATGCCATTTCAAGATCGATAACATCGCAGATTCATCATTAGACTTTTTTTCAAGGATTTCTACATACGTAGCAGACGAGATGAGAGCAATATTCAATGCTCAGACCAATGGAAAACTTATAAAATGCAAGACATCTTCGGGTTAGAAAAATTATTGCTATAATATTTTTTCATAAATAATGTTAACACTGTTGATTCCCCAGCTTCCTACGATAATTGTTGCTAATTCCGAGGTAAAGTTGCTAACCCCACAAACAACTGGTTTTAAATTTAGAGTTGTTCTGGTTAGCAACCAAAGCTAAAGCGCGTAGTCTATGCTGTTATTAACCCTTAGCTGGATGGAAATGTGATAGATTCATACCTTTCATATAAGTGAACGTAACGAACTCGACTGGAATTCGAACTCGGCTCACTGATTTCTCATTCATATCTTTTTTTATGCGTTTTTGTTTTTCTTAGGTTTCGGCTGGAATTTAAACTCGAACCAACAATTCGACTCTCTGCAACGATAACCATTAATACCTGATGATATCAATTTTGATTGTATATTATTTCATTTACGATCGCGATGACGAGTCCCATAATCCATTAGGGTCGTAGGAGCACAACACGCACTGCAGACGCAGCAGCCGTGGTATGTCTTCGACAAGTTATCTTGGCGGAGCCCAACCCTCTTCAGGATGATCTGAATTCACTTCTGGTTTTCCTTCACTTTCAACCAGCCAACCAAGGCTATAGGGCCCAGTCTGCCCTACTATTTACTCATAGCTCCAATTTCTCATTTCCACTCCGTTTTAGAACGATACTCTATGAACAGAATGAGATGGAAATAAACAAATTAAGATAGATAGATAGAAAATGAACAGACTGAGATAGATAGATAGATAGATAGATAGATAGATAGATAGATAGATAGATAGATAGATAGATAGATAGATAGATTTGAATGGACATTGAGCTATAGGAGAGGAAGGGATGATTTTATAAACAGTGACTGCTGCTGTTAATGCAATGTTCTACTCGAATCGAGCTTGACTAGCTACTGACGTCTTTCGCATATTAAAAACGTTAAAATTTCCCTTTAGCTCTTCCGTACCACGATAGCTTGGGGGTAGAATCTCTGACTGATGCTAAATCGGTCGGGTTTCGATCCTGGCTTGAAGCAATCGGATGTCTAGCCACGCATGATCTGTGATAAAGCAAACCAGTCTGTCTGTGTATGGCTATATATATATATAAATATGTTGAAACCTATGTTGTTAAATATGATAGATTTTGGCACAATAATAAAGCACATGGTGTGGATCGAACTCACTTGTAATGGGCTCTGAATCTAACGTATTAACCGCCTCTCTAAGGCAGGTTTCTATTTTAATATTTCGGTCTCACGCGGAGTATAAAGTCATAGAACGGCATCTTGAACTTACAACCTGAGTCTGCTATTTCGCAACTGTTATTGTCACATAGCAATCTTCTATGTTAACATAAAATATCATCTTTCATGGTGAATATCTTTGTTTAAATGTCCGTATAACCACTCTGAAGATGGTTCATGTGAGCTGAAAGCTTAGATCAAGGACCGACTTAGTAAAATATATCCAAATTTTAGACAATTTTTGTCTTTATTTTCACCCGAAATTAAAGCAAACATACGAATTTTAGATAGGCCTATGATCAAACATAACAGAATTTTATTGTCTGTTATATTTAACAGTATATATTTAAATAATGGCCTTCTGCTACACTACACTATATATATATATATATATATATATATATATATATATATATATATATATATATATATATATATATATATATATATTGAGATAGATATGAACAGGTTGATTTGTTTGGTTGTTTTTGTTTAGCGGAATATCAGCCTCCATTTTTTTTGGGGGGATAATAATAGTTTTACTGATAGAAGTCTTACTAATTAACCTATAGCCGGGGGAGAAGAGATGGATTCATATCTTTCCCAATGGTATTTGCGCGTAAGTGTATATAACGAATCCAACTGAAATTGGAACTCGGATCTCCGATTAACCAACTCCGAGCTATTATCATCCATTACACCACCGCACATCCAAGTTTACAGCACCTGGTATTCCTAAGCGGTCACTCATCTAGGTACTGAACAGACTCGACGTTGCTTTACTTCGCTGATCGTACGGGAAAAAGTAGCAAAAGGGGAATGTAATCCATATGCAAATACTGAGAAAGTAATATTCTGCGCAGAATATGTTACATATATTCGCTGGTTTTTTCTGATGTTCTGTGAAAGATTTCGAACAATAATCTTTACTGTCATTTTTTGCTTCTTAGTAACTCTGGCCATCCCGTGAAACTGTTGCCTAACGTTATTGACATTTTATTTCCGATTATACACCCACTTTGAGATGAACCGCCAAATAGACAAGAATGAACATGTTCGATATCTTCTCTTTGCTTTTAATCAAGGTCAAAAAGGTGCCAAAGCTGCTCCAGACAATTTGTGCGGTGCACGGAGATGACTTCATTACCGACGGTCAATCGTATGCTGTATGTTGAACAAATGAACAGGTTCAAAGAGGCAATTTAGCTGAAAGGACCTGACCGGAGATACAATGTGATTATTCAACATGATACTGCTCGACACCATGTCGTTAACATGACCAAACATGCAATTAAAGAACTCGTTTGGGAAGTTCTACCACAGCCACCATATTCGCCTGATTTAGCCCCTTCAGGCCTTTTTCGGCCGCTTTCTAACGATTTAAGGGGTGTTTCGTTCAACAACGATGTGGTGCTTAAAACCTGGCTTCAGGTATTTTCCAAGTCAAAAACTAATGTTTTCTCTCGTCGAGGCATTGAACAGACAGTGTATCGTTGACAGGTGGTCGTAAACAATGAAACGGAAGACATTGTTGAATGACTCATCAGGACTTTTAATACATAATAAGTATTGAAATAAATTATAAAGAAAACGAACGAATTTATGTAACAACCTGATATATATAAAGAAACTTAAGTCGATCTGATGACACAATTATTTCAAAGTAAAAGATTTTCCTCAAAGTATTTGCGCCATTCTACACTGCCAACACTCGTTAAATGATAATGGTAATTAGCAGTAATTAACCGCTTCAGGTAAATAAATGCAATTATATTCCGTTTATATACTTTTTAATTAACTAATTCTGTGAATGATTTTGTCGTTGTTGTTGTTGTCGTCTACTTTGCGTGTCTGTAAATCTGAGGGAGGTTAACTGTGTTTAAAGATTAAGCCTTCTCGGATTTTCCCTTTGGCAAAAAGAATCAGTGCGGAGGAAAAATATAGTGGCTTGAAAAATTGGAAGTTTATTTTATACGCTGCGTTTGTCTATCAAACAAATATAGGGATCGTTACAGCCTTCCCTAATGTCCACAGATTTTTAGAATGTGTGTGTTTATTTATTTATTTATTGCTACTTCGGAACGATCATAAATTTCTACAATAACATAAAGCGCCTCCTGTAGAATTTTAGGCATGATGATAGTCTCCAATATTGTAGCCTTGAGACACAATAAGCTAGATTTAATAAATATCAACAATGGAAACCTGCCGTAGAGCGGCGGTTAATACGTTAGATTCAGAGACCATTCCAGGTGAGTTCGATCAACACCATGTGCTTTACTATTGTGCCATAATCTATGCTTAATGAACTTAAACGCTGAGTATTTTCTTGGGATTCTATTTCTTAGATGTTATCACCCCCCTCTCTCCCTCTCTCTCCCCCTCTCTCCCCCTCTCTCCCTCTCTCTCCCCCTCTCTCCCCCCTCTCTCTCTCACACACACACACATAAGTATGAATCTATATTATTACTTTAAAACTTATATTTAGTGGGTACACGTGTTTGAATAGACATCCATGTTTTTTTAACAGTGAAATTAATATCTACCAGTCTAAATATCAAAAGTCTTATTAAGGAATCTGTGCCATCTGACACTTTCTTTTGTAAGACTTCCGATATCTAAGCCGGTAGATATTAATTTTAATGTTTTAAAAAGTGACAGCTACACAAATCCATGTACCCACTAAATATAACGTTTGTAGGAATAAGAAATAATGTAGGCTTTAAAAATACATTAGTTGATTATATATATATATATATATATATATATATATATATATATATATAGAGAGAGAGAGAGAGAGGGATAGAGGGAGGGAAAGAGAGAGAGAGATGCAAAATTTCAGGTAGAATATACATGTCAAAGAACACCAAGAATAAAAACAAAAGGAAAACTTAGCCGACGCGTTTCGGCCTCTGAGGAACTTTATCAGGGCAAATGCAGAGATTTTATGCTTACATGTTTACAAAATAAAATCCTTGAATTTGTCTTGATAAAGTTCCTTAGACAACGAAACGCGTCAACTAAGATAAGTTTACATTTTGTCTTTGTTACACACACACACACACACACATATATATATATATATATATATATATATATATATATATATATATAATATATATATATATAATAAAAAGGTTTAAACACTAATATTACATAGTCATAATTTATTCCATTGGAATCGTAAATACGATCCAATTCATCAGACCTACAAATTCAAAAAGAAAACAGAAAAAAACAACTCCGGAAATAAAAATAGAATTTAGAGAGAGTCTGTCCTGGACATTGAGTTCTACCTGG